GGCGATGCGATGACCCTTTGTGCAGCTGTCCACGCAGGTCCGGTCAGGATGTTCCTGGAAACCTCCAACAAGACAAAGGTTATTCTTGGTTCTGCACCTTTCTGTATCTATATGAATGAAGAGTGTTAGACCTTGACCTCGCATGTCAAGCCTGGGAGGCAGAGCCCTGACAAAGGGCTATTCTGCATATTTTAGGCTGCAGGTGGCATTCCTTTTCAAGATGCAGAGCCAGCCTGACTATGCTCAGGCCACACAGCACAGACCTTGGAGCGAAAGGACCAGATCCAGCATGGAACTGTGTTTGTTCTTATCTGTGACACCTGCTCCCTGTGTCCAGCTCTATCAGGAGGGAGACAGAACTCCCTTCTCCAAACACCCGATCACTAGAGGAACGGATTTCTATTTCCCACTCGCACTGGACCCAGGAATTTCTGTCAGATGTCCCAGGTCTGAGTCGTGGGGAGTGGAGACAATGTGGACAATGTCCCTGAGGTGACAGGCCCTGTGACTCTGGGCTGGGACAGGAGCCTTGTGAGCAGAGGTTCTACCTGGGTGGGAGTGTCAGGGGTGGTGACTGAGTGAGCGTCCGGGCTGGACAGCACAGGGTGCGAGGGTTGTGCCTCATGTCCCCTCGGGCCTGAAGCACAGCTCTGAGGCCGCCGTCCCAGAATAATTGTCCCAATCAGCCTCAGGCACCGTCTGGACCCCAGAGACTGTCCAGGGGGTGAGTGGCCGACAGGGAGCAGAGACTCGCCCTGGGACTCATCCCAGCAGAGAAGGGGGTCGGGCATCCTGGCCATCCCTGACCCAGGACCCGGTTCTGTCACTGTCACTGTCACTGGTGTTCTCTGTGGAGGGACATCCTGACTCCTGAGGAGCCTGACTCTAAAGAAGGCTGGGTGAGCACAGACTGACCCCTGATTCCTGGAGGGACAGAGAAGCCTGGAACCTGCAGAATCCAGGACAGTGTGTGTGTGTGTGTGTGTGACAGAGGCTGTGCCCGTGTGTCCTCAGGAAGCCATTCCCTCAAAGTCCACCCTGAGCCCCAGTGGCCCCTGTCCCTCTTGTGGCTTCTCCACCCCTGAGGTTGCGTCTCCAAGCAAACCCATCCCTGGGGTGGCTTCTCTGTACGAGCCTCCAGGCTCCGGGGCTGGGGCTGAGGAAGGAAGCCACATGGGCAGGAAGCCACGTCCCTGGAGCAGGATCTCCTTCAGATGGAAGGAGGAATCAGGGTGACACTTCTGTTAGCAACTCCACAGAACAGAAGCCCGGGTCACGTGGAGTGTAGACGCCTGTCCCCTGTCCTCCCTGCAGGACTGGGAAGGATGGAGCCCTGACACCACAGCTGTGGGTCTGCAGGCCCAGGAAGCACAGGGCAGGGGGGCCACAGCCCCATCTTCCTGCGCCCTCACCAGAGCCAAGGCTCGCGGGCCCTGCTGGGTCCAGGTGTCTGCAGCTGGGGGACCAGGGGAGATTGTCTAGTTTGATTTCGGAAAAGAGAGGAGGATTCGGACTTCAGGGACCTGAGGAAAATGTTTCTGCAGTTGAAGTGCTTTTGGAGAATTCATGGAAACATCACCTGGGGCAGAAGAAAACACAGCCCGTCTTGAGAGATGGAGCCAGGGCTTCCTCTGCTAAATCCTCAGGACTCACCTCGTGTGGGGTCTCAGTTAATTCTGAAGGAAGAAATAATCCATAGCTTCCCCACGCAATTACTCAGAGGCTGGATGACCCCTGAGTTTTAGGAAAATGCAGCCCTGTTTACAGCACAGTAAAGAGGTTGAGGGGGGAGGAGGGAGCAGAAAGCAGAGCTCGTGTCAGTATTTGAGCTGTGGGGACATCCGTACAGCCCGGGACTCACAATTTGTGGGATGAGATGAAGGAAATGAGGAGGGACGTGGCTGTGCTGGGAGCATTTCTGGGTCCAGACACAGCACCTACTCTGGTGAATTTACTCCAGACACTGAAGGAGGGGCAGGTGGGCTCTGTGCGGGTTCCTGGGACACCTGGGCTGTCTCGGGTCACAGGCACGACCCTGTGTTTCTCCTCTCTCCATTCACAGAGATCTCAGTGCAGAGAAGCCTCCCTTGCAGATCCCTCCACAGAAGCTTCTCACTGAAAAGAGCCTCAGAGCCAAGGTCTGTGGGCTCAGGGGTTTTTGTCTCACTTCCTCGATGAGCAGAAGCCCTGCATTGGCCGAGGCCTCTTTGGATCCAGAGAAGCGGCTGGGGACCCCGGAGCCCTGGTGCTTATCAGAGTCTGACTTGAACCTCAGGAGGTACCGGGGAGAGCTCCCTGGCTTCTGCTGGTACCAGATATGTGGTAGCCGCCAACAATGTACCCACTGCTCAGGGTGCAGGTGAGTCTGGCTGATGCTCCAAGAGATGCAGAGAGGGAGGGAGGCTGAGTCAGCACAGGCTGGGAGATGGCACCTGCAGACACAGACACAGTGGGGAGATGGGGCAGGAGCTGGAGGAAAGATTCCAGGAGTCTGAGCCACACGGGCTGATGCAGGCTGGGGACTGAGACCTGGTCCCCGCGGCCTGGCCCTCCCTGTGCAGTGAGAGAGGAACACGAGCAGGAGAGGAGTCTAGGCCATGGTGCTCACAGCCCCCCTGGTCCCCACAGTGGGGCTGGGCTGCCCCAGGCTTCCTTTTCTCCCCCAGCCTCTGCCAGAGGAGGGGCTCCCGTGCAAATGGGTGTCCACCCAGGGCCCACCCAGCCCCTCCATGAGCCCTGGTGCTGGAGCTCAGCTCACAGCCCAGACTCAGGGGGATGGAGGGCGGCTTCCCCCTTGGGACCCCCTGAGAGGAAGCACCTGCTGAGACCACGCAGGTCCCTGCTCAGGGGCCTCTGCCAGCCAGAGAGGACACACTGCTGAGTCCCCACCAGGGAGCACAGGCCCCGCCCCCAGGCCCAGCTCCTGAAGCGAAAGGTCCTCCCTGAGCAGCTGTGCAGGGACCCCAGGGCAGTCCCATGGCGCCCCCTGCGGGTCACAGAGCACAACTTCGCGGTGACCTGAGGACCTGAGGGCTCAGCAGGTTCTGCAGCTCACCTGGTCCCTGTCTCCTTTCACACATCCAGGGTGGTTCCCAGTTCCTGGGATTCCCACACAGTGTACATTGATTTTTGTTTGTTGTGTGTGGTTTCTATAGTAGCCTCACAATCTTTAAATTATTTTTGCTGTAAATATGTGTCACTATCTAGTCATGTATATCTCTCTTCATTTTTGTTCATTTGTAAAATGTCCTAGACTATTCCTGGATTTAAATTTTTTCACACAAATATTAGAAAAAAGGTCTCGTTTCTCCAAAATTCTGACAGGTATTTTTAAAAATAAATAGAAACTATTGATAAGCTAAATAAGCATAATTTTCAGATTTTTTCATTGCAATCCATCCTAAGCATCAATGGATCTGTTTCTACATGTATGCAAGTCTTGTTTTATCCCCTGTATGGAATGTTCATCTTTCCTGGGATGTCTGTACGTTTTCTTTGTCAGGAGGTTGTCGGAGTCCGTGTGGACTGAGTGGCTCCTGACAACGGTCTTGTGTGGGGGAGGTGAGGGGCGTCCAAGCTGCGTCCAAGTCCTGGTTCCCAGGGGAGGGGCCTCTGTTGAGGCATCAGGGAGTCGCCTGCTGGGCTGGTGTTTTCCTGAAGTGGTGACAGGGAGAGTCGTGCTCAGAGGGGAGGCTCCAGAACAGCCCTGTGGAAAGTGTGAGCCTGAAGTTGCAGTGCCCCCCAGGCAGATCCCAGAACACTCCTGCCTAGTGGTCCTCACATGGGAGGGGGCCTCATGCCGCCCATTCCCTGGTCTCTGAGAGCGATCCTATCCCTGAACAAGGGCTTTCTGCTGAGTCCAGGGGAACAAGCTGAGCGTGTGATTTCAGCACTGACTCATTTTAAAGGTTCTTAAGGTCAGTGATCCATGGGGAGGGCCTCAGAGCCTCCTACAGAGCATGAAAAGGGACTCAGCATCAGGGGTCATTAGGGGAATGCAAACTACGATGACATATTGCTTCACCCAGACTAGAAGGGCTATAAAATAAAGTGAGAGATAATAACAGTTGCTGGTGAAGGCGGGGAGAAATTGGAACCCACATACATTGCTGGTAGAGATGCGAACCAGGGCAGCCGTGTTGGAAAACATCTGACAGTTCCTCAAATCTCAAAATGTACTGTTAGCGTAGTTACCATAGGACTCAGCTATGCCACTCCTAGGTATCTACCCAAGAGAAGTGAAAACATACTTCCACCAAAAACAAAACACCTAACTACTTGTACACAAATATTTCTGGCAGCATTTTGCATAATAGCCAAGAGAAGAAAAAAACAACTCAAATGTCCCTGAAGGGTAAACAAACGGTGGTCAGCTCATACAATGGAGTATTATTTGGCAATAAAAAACGGATATTGACTCACACGGTTGGAACTTCAAAATGTTATGCAAAAGAATTAACTGAACTAAGACAGTCACAAAGGACACCTATTTTCTGGTTCCATCTATATGAAATGTCCAGAATAGGCAAATCTGTAAAGACAGAAAGTGGAGCAGTGGTTCCCTAGGACTGAGCAGAGGTGTGATGAGGTATGATCACAAATGGGTGGGGACGTTCTCTGAGGAATGTGGGCAGGTTCTAAAATTAGAATGTGGTGATCCGGAACTTCCTTGGTGGTCCAGTGGTTAGGACTCTGAGCTTCCACTGCAGGGGGTATGGGTTCAATCCCTGCTTTGGGAACTAAGATCCTGCATGCCGCGCTGCAAGGCCAAAAAAAAGAATATAGAATATAGTGATAGTTACACAACTCTGTGAATATGCTAAACACCCTTGTACTGTGCACATTAAACCAGTGAACCTGTTGGCATGCACAGTGTATCTCAATGAAACTATGATGAAAACAGTGAGATGGAGCCTGTGTCACTGACCCTTTAAAGTGGGTGGGTGCTGGACAGTCAGACCCTCACGCTGTAAGATGGGCCACGGTCACCTCCTTATTTGTCACAGGCAGTCACGGGGGTGATCACGGGGGGAGGGGGTGGGTTTTTGTCTCAGTTCCCGGTGGGTCAGATGCGCTGTGTTACCACTGATGCTGTCATCCCACGTTGAACAGTAATAATCAGCCTTGTCCTCAGGCTGGAGCCTGGAGATGGTCAGAGAGGCCGTGTTGACAGACGTGGAGCCAGAGCACAGGTCTGGGATCCCTGAGGGTAGAGAACCTGCGAGCATCGCCGTTTTGGGGGCCCCGTGAAAAATCTGTTGGTACCAGTTCACGATATTAGCTCCAACGTTGTTGCCATTTCCGGTGCAGGAGTGGGTGACCGTCTGTCCCACAGAACCTGACATGGAGCCTTCCTGCGTCAGCCTGGACTGCGCCCAGGACCCTGGAACAGAGGAGGGGACACACAGAGAAGTGAGTCTGGGCCATTGTCCACAGCATGTTCTCCACAAGAAGGAATAAAGCGGCCCAGGTGTCCCCGAATCCCTTCTCCCGGTTTCCACCGCCTCTCACCTGTGCAGTGAGCGAGGAGGCCGAGGAGGAGAAGGGTCCAGGCCATGGTGGAGACACCCCAGCTCTGCTTCTGAGCCCACAGGGGACCTGCACAGAATCTCTTACCTTGTTCCTCATGGGAGAGCAGAGGACCCCTCCATGCAAATGACCCCTCCCCTGGGGACACTGGACCGAAATTGGGTGAGACCTGAGCATGGAGTGGGGCTGGGGAGCCTCCCCTGGGCCCTGCGTGGTCACAGCGGCTAGACCGGTGAGCACAGAGCAGAGGGCACAAGGCAGGGCTCCAGGGCCTGGATTCCCAGCTGAGAGTCCCCCCACAGACCCTCAGGGACAGGCGCACAGCGTCCCCTGCGGTCCACACCCAGGCTCCCTTAGGATTGGGATGGACATTCCGGAGCTGAGCCCAGCGGGTGAGACCACCTTTAGACCCGTCTCACACACCCCGGTTTCCACCCAAACTAACCTGGATCTGGCCACCACCTTCTCCTCCCAGGATGAGACCCACAAACCCATCTCCCTGACTTGTGCGTTTTATCCCCATTGCAGTTGGAGAGTTAGTGTAGAAAGGCCAACGGGAGCGTGTCACCCCCACCTTACAGTCCAACAATGACCCTACGTCCCCTGAGGTCACTACAGTGGTCTGGTCTCTACCTGCCTCTCCTGCTCTCCGGCCACTTTCCAAAGAGCTCCTCCTAGGAGCCTTCCCTACCCCCAACAACCCACAGCACAGGCTAAAAGCAACTGTTCTCAGTTACTTGAATGGCCAATATCTCCTTCTTTGAATTCTTACCTCTTACACTCCCTCCCCCCTACTCCTACCATCTCATCGGTCTCAGTCCTTTCGGATTTTGAAAATCCCAAATGAGATGCAGCTCCTATTGATTAGGTCTCTTTAGACCAACTCCCCGCCCCTCCCCCGCCTCACTCTTTAGTTTTTCACCTCTTCCGGGGCTGGAAACCAAGAGCAGGGTTAGAGCTGTAAATACACAGTTGACATAATTTTGGTCTGGGTTTTAATTACAAGGAGATGTGTAATTCCTTCAGATAAAAATCCAGTTCTATAGAGCATTCCCACATATTCCTCCTACTCTCTCCACATTTCCACCATTTTAACATCTTGCATTGGTTTCGGGCAACTGGTAAAACTGCATAAACCAATACTGATACATTATTATCAACTAAACTCCATTGGAGTTCGCTCTTGGTGTCACACAGTTTTATGGGTTTTACCAAGTGCGTAATGTCACCTAACCACTATCCCATTAACATACAGAATATTTTCGCTGCCCTAAACATCCCTTTTGCTCCACCTGTTCAGCCTTTTCCTATCCCCGAACTCCTGGCAACTCTAGATCATTTTACTGTCTCTAGACAGTAAATGTGCCTTTTCCGTAGTATCATATTGTTGGAATCACACAGTAACTGTATTTTACTTTTTACAGATTTGGCTTCTTTCACTTAGTAATATGCATTTACTTTTTGTATCGCCCTTTCTTTTTGTGGCCCAATAGCTCATTTATTTTTAATCACTGAATAATAATGTCCCATTGGGTGGATGTACCACAGTTTATTTATCCCTTCAGCTATTGGAGGCCCTTTTGCTTGATTCCAGATTGTAACGACTATGAATAAAGCTGCCTGTAAACATTTGTGTGCAGCTTCTTGCGTGGACACACCTTTTCAACTCATGTAGATAAACACCTAATTCAACTGCTGGATCGTACGGTGAGAGTATGCTTAGCTTTCTAAAAAATCTCGTCTGTCTTCCGTAGTTGGCCAATATCGTTTTCCATGACTACCAGAAATGAATGAGAGTTACTAAATGACTAGTTTAGCTCTATTACTAGTTTAGTCCATGTGCTATACAGGGTCTCTCCACTCTGCCAGGTTAAAACTCAGGCATCCTACACATTTTTAATTAAAATTCCTAAGGTCTATTCTAGTTACCCACTTGGCTTCCATAATCCATCTAATCTACCACATCTCTGCTCTTTTCTCAGACCTGGACAGTGGCTCTCTGATGGTGCAAAGTTTTCATTCAGGAAATTCTCATCGTGCATAAGCACCTGCAGAGATGAGCATAATAGCTCTCCCCACAGAGCACTAGCCCAATTCAGTTTTCATTATATTGGCATCTTTCTCATGTGCTATAAAGATGATCATGTAATTTGAATTATAACTTACTAATTGTAACTTGTAATATATCACCTACCTTATCATTCTCAGCAGATAAATTATTCCACCAACCAGAAGTGAGATTTCTGGAAAAGCATTTTGAAGATCTATTACACATGTTCAATTATAATATGGTAAATAACTCATCCCTGTTTACCCTGGATGTTCCTGGTTTCACCACTGGAAGTCCCATGTCCCAGGACACCCTTCGGTCCTGAGTAATGAGGGTGGATCTTCCCTCTAAGTTAAACTTAGAGTTTTTGAATTTGATAAACAGTTATTATGTTTGAAAAGATTTTCCGTATACAAGATGATAATCAATAATTATTCATACAAAATATAAATTTTAAAAAACAATAAAATTTTATTAGGACTTACATTCCAGAAGGTACAGTAACCCCTGTGTGGTGTCAGTTACTGACATTGATCACTTACCCATCCCTCCTTCTGACATCGGAGGGCTCTGCACTGTCACCTCTGCTTACACCCACCCACGCACCTTCTCAAGGGAAAACATGTATAAATAAGCAATAATATAAATAATAGAAGTGCTTGTATAACCCATCTACTCACTTCTGACATTCTTACTCAGTGTTTTCCTGTAAGAAAATATTTTACCCCTTGTTCAAATTTTCCTTTATGTTCCTTGCTGAATTTTTATTTGTTTTCCTGCATATATGGTCAAAGTTTCTACTTTTTTTTTAATACTGGGACTGGAACAACATACACTTTGAAGTACTTTTAAATTTATATAATTTTAAAATTATATAGTATTTTTATTAATTGAGAATTTGAAAATGTTTATATTCATTCCAATGAATTTTCAGTACAATCTCTAGGCTTCCGTGTAAATTGATTCTTTGTTTTAAAATATGTTCATATTTTTTTACTTCTATTATTGATTTGATGCAAATCCCAGGTTAAAATCTTTCACAGGAGAGGCCAGCAGCCATCATGTGTGGTCAGATTAAAATGGAAACAATTCTAGCATTTCGCCTGGAGGAACAATGCTCTTCTCCAGTTTAAAGATACATAATCATTAAGCCATTAAGGAAGTTTCCTGTATTTCTTCATTTCTATATTTATTTTTATAAAGGCAGAAATGGTGATAGAATTTAAGCGGCAGGTTCTAAAGCATTTATTGAAAATGGAAAGTGTGTTTTTCTATTCAAATCTTATGCATTGAGAAAGGAGCCCCAAAAAAGGTGGTTTTTGAAACAAATTCATTCATTTTGCCCTCATGACTGATCCTCCCTTTTATTTCTCTTTGATTTATTATAAAGCTTAACATTTACTGATTCTCATGTTTGATTCCCAACTCCTGCTATACAGCCTTCATCTTCCATTTCTAGAATCTTCCCGGGAACTGAAAGCCCTGAGGCCAGTGCCTTGGTTGAATGATAAGGAGACTGTTGTCTCCTTTTTGCCCTCATGAACTGTAGCATAGTTCTCCTGATCTAATTAAAGAACCACACATCTGCAGTCCTGGCAGCCCAGAGATCAGGGACACACGGTCCTAAGGATGTGGATCCGCAGCCATCAGAGTCCCTTCCTTTCCCTCCAGCCGACTCTCGGAGTAGCCTCACCCCTGGTTTCCTGTGTCTGCAGGAGGGCCAGTCTTCACAAGGAAGTCTGGCATCTAAGGGCGGGGAGCTTACAAGGAACATGTTAACCCAGAGGTGAGGGTCAGGCCCAGGAGACCAGAATAGTTGGTGAAGGCTTGTGGCCTCAGGAAGACAGGAAGAGGGCCACCAGGAAGGGTTTGAGTACAGATAAGAAAAAGTAGTTATAGCTTTGGGTTCTTAACAGATGAAGACCAGGTACTGGTTGAATGGATGACCTATGGTCTATTCCAGTAGTTTTTAACTCCTGTGCTGGGCACGGCCAGTGTCAGCCTCCCTCTGGCCCTTCTATCAATTGCCCTGAAGGATTCTGTGTCCTGAAGCTAAAGTTTCTGCCTGTGGAGCAGTGATGAGGGTGAGAAATGGTCCAGCCACCCTCAAAGCCACAAGTCCTTGAAAAGTCTTCAGGTCCTCAGGTGGTGGTGGCATAGTTAGGAGCAAGGTCACCCTTGACGTAATGTTACACACAGGCAGCCAACGTTTATAGCCTGACGGTGGGAGGACAGGGGATGGCTGAGTCTCCAGTCCTCCAGGGTCTGGAACTCTGTGTCAAGATCATCCCATGTCTGGTCCTAATGACCAGCTTTTTTGTAGGACAGGGTCTAAGGGACCCTCAGGAACCATCCATTGGCCAACCTGAAGCCAGAGTTTCCGTCTCAGATGGCACTGAGTCAAGATGGCACTCCCCAGTCCACATGTTCAGGACTCTTGCCTTGATGCTTTTCTTGCCAGGCCATAGCAAGCTTTTCTTGTTCATTTATATGTTGCTGATTTTCTGCTATAAATGAACTTGTTTTTGAGATCTCACTCCAACATCATGGATGGATGTGTCCGCAGAGCCTAGAAAGAAACAGAAACCTAAAAGATATAAAAAATAGGAAGAGGTGAGATTTGGGGTCCCTGCTCACTTTGTCCACAGCCCAACCCACTTGAGGATGGATGGATAGATAGATAGATAGAGTTGCATCCCATTGGTTCTGTCTCTCAAGAGAACCGTAAATCATACACAGCCCTTTACCCAAATCTCTGTCCTACTCTGCTTTTTCTGGCCCTTTGCAGGGTTCTATTCTGTGGAGCAATCTGTGATAAATGGTGGCCCAAGGGAAGCCTGTACTCTGTTCCCACAAAGACCTTGAGAGGTCACAGTCACAAGGAAGTGAAGGTCAGGGCACAAGATTTCCCCCTGTGCATAATTGCCCACTCCACATAGCCCCACAAGACCAGGCTATCAGCACTCCGTTTGTTGCAGGGCATCTTCACACACTCTTTCTGGGACAAGCCAGTGCAGCTGTTGAGAAAATCTATAATTTGGAGGGGGGTGGTTCTTTGGATTTTCTAATCAGGATTCACCATTGTAGGTTCCATTTCTAAGCCTTGGAAATACTGCCGGGAACCCTGAAATCACACTGGTGCCCTCTTCTCTTTAGAACCTCCGGGTCATAATTCTCATCAACAGGTTGCAGTTCCCACAGTCGTTCTTGGGGGTGAGAAACCCGTCACGCCAGGTGCACACTGCAGGTGAAGCACAGGGAACACCCAGGAGCACCCACCCCAACCTGCTGCACCCACACTCTGCCGCCCTCTCCCACCTGGTCTGGGACTCTTTTCTTGAGTCCAAAGTGTCTGTATGATTGGGAGGTGTCTCTTCCAGGCTCTCTGGATAGTGGAGCCAGGGCTGGCTCAAGTTAAGAGCACTGTTCAGTGGACATTTGAGGTCATGAAGGGAAGATAGCACTGACCATTCTTGTCACTACTCTGTGTACCCCATCCCATGCACTCTACCCACCAGGCTGATCAGGTGGGTACTTTGTGTCCATGCTACAGACAATGACACTGACACACTGGGAAATTCAGAAGCAGGTCCATGATGCATGTCTAATATTTGAAAGATCCAGGTTTTCAATCTAGATTTTTCCAAGTGAAAAACAAGTTCTCTTTAAATTCCCTCTCTTGATGGGTGAGTCTTGAGAATGGGGAGCAGGGGAGGAGCGGGAGTCTGGGAATAGGAAGAGAACATTCTGGGAGCATCTGGTCCTAGACTAGGCTGAATTAGTGGTGACGGTGATCACAGCAGCTGGTCTGGGCCGCACACTGCAATGAGTTCATATCTGTGACTTCATTTAATCCTCTCCCAACCCTATGAAGCAGACAGTGTCCTGATCTCCCTTTCACAGGTGAGGACTCAAAGATTAAGGCCTTTTTGGAGCTAGGAAGTGAACCGGGGGAATCAAGGGGATAGGACCTGTGGGCCAAGGTCTCTTCTGACCCTGACGTGGCCACAACCTGAGGGTCTCTGGCCCAGGACTGAGGGATGTCTGAGAGGTTCTGTCTGTGCAGTTCTGAGGGCCCACCCGATGCTGGGGGAGGTGGAAGAAACTTCCAGGCTTCCTTTGTGAGCAGAGCAGAGCAGTGGGGAGATTTTTGTCTCACTTCCTCATGGGTCTGGAGCACTGTGAAAGCCTTTGAGTTGCCGTGATATGTAGCACAGTAATAGTCGGCCTCGTCCTCAGGCTGGAGTCCAGAGATGAGCAAAATCCCAGCATTAGTTGATGCATCATTGGATCCAGTGAATCTGCTGGGGACTCCGGAGCCCTGGTGCTTGTCTGAATCTGAGTGGAAAGTAAGAAGATACCTGGGAGGGTTCCCTGGCTTCTGCTGGTACCACCGTATCCAGAAATTACCAACATTGAAGCCACTGCTCAGGGTGCAGGTGAGTCTGGCTGATGCTCCCAGATTTGAGGAGAGGGAGGGTGGCTGAGTCAGCACAGGCTGGGCGAGGGCACCTGCAAACATAGACACATATGGGTGCTGGGGCAGGGACCAGAGTTGAGTTGCCTGAGATTCTGAGCCAGAGAGGCTAACACAGACTGTGGGGCTGCTCTGTGTCTCTGAGGAATGTCCCCACCTGTGCAGTGAGACAGGAGCCATCAGGAGGAGAGGAGTCCAGGCCATGGTGAATGCAGCCCTCCTGAGACACCTGAACTGGAGCTGGGCTGCCCAGACATCTCTTATCTCTTCCAGTGGCCTCAGGGAGGAGGGGCTATTCATGTAAATTTGTTTCCCATACTGGAGACCTCTGTTCCACCCTGAGGACCAGCTGAGGTCTGCACTTGGTTCTTTAGACAGAGGGGCTGATGGGTCAGACTCAGAGCCTGCCCCATGGGAGTGACTAGGGAGGAAGCAGCTGCTGGGACCTGACACAGACCATTGAGCAGGAGACCCTGCCCAGCCCAGAGAGGACACAGTAGCTGAGTCTCCACCAGCAAACACACCCCCAGCCCTGGAGAGTGTGAGTGATTACACAGCAGAGGGCACCCACTGTGCAGACCTGGGGAAATCCCACAGCGCCCCCTACTGCGCAATGAATTCGAACTTCAGTTTCTCCGTGGAAATTATGTTAATGGCGTTGGTCTGAAAGCCTGGTCCCTGTCTTTCCAGAAATATCTGTGGACCACACCCTGTAGTGTCCATTGATAATTGATATTAAGAAACATCTTTCTCAACTGAGTTCTTTCTAGATTTTAAGGTGAAAGAAATATGACCACCATACCACGTGACGAAGGCTGTAGCGAGGTGGGAAAGCAGATGGATTTGGGAACAAAGACTTGAGCAGCCCATTCAAGAGGGCAACAGGAAGGAGGTGACCGGTCATCTGGGTCGGAATGGACTGGAGAGTAGTGGTCTTGTTTGTGGAGCAACAAAGCAAGCAACACTTCTAGAGAAGGGCAGGGTTCTCAGAAGGTGTAGCAGAGTGTTCAAATATTCAGAGACACAAAATAGTGTAGGGTATTGGGAAATGGCAAAACGTCTCATATTTCTGGGTCTGGCATTTTTTGGATGCTTTTGTTGTCAGGCCACAGCATGTTTCAGAAAGTTCTTCCTAACATTCCTACACCATGGATGGGTGAGTCAGCACAGTCTGGACAAAGGACCCTAAAAGATCAGCATAATGGATACTTCTCACTTAGAAAAATGCTTCCATCCATTCCAGAAATACTTATGAAAAGAGTGGAACAAGCCAGTAGTGTGCCAGATGTGAGGGAGATGAAAGAAGGCTGCTGTGGCTGAGACAAGAGACAGAGAGGTGAAGATGTTCCCAGGGGCAACACCAGCCTTTGTCAACAGAAAATACGAATGTTCTTCATCAGTTCACTTCGTGAGGCCCCCGGATATTCACGAGGTGAAACTCACCATTGTCTTTGTGGTAAGATTGCCAACACCAGAGGCTCTCTCTTCCTTCCTCTTCCTTTGCTCTCCTGGCTTGAAGAGGGTCTTCAATGCCATATTGGCTGATGAGCTCTAAAGTGTTGTTTTTTCCTCCTATTATGGACATATTCCATCAAAATCCAGGACTTGACTCTCTCCTGATTAGTTAGACAAAAAGATGAGAGTCTCTTCTAAAATCTACTTTGGGAAGTTCACTTCACTCCCTAGCTCTATTGAATTCGGACGTGCTATATATATATTTTTTTCATCTTTACCATTGGGTGACCCCTCTTGTTAAAGCAACATCTCTGTCTTTTAGTTAAGGGGCAGAAATGTACACAGATGCTTCTTATTATTCAAAGGAATACATAAGGTGACTGTCTACATAAATCTTTACGTCTGATAAAGGTGGGGGAGTGAAAAATAAAGATAATAAAGAGGGTCAGGTACCTTGTTTTAAGGAATTCAATACTGAAATATCAAAGTGTGGAAGAGGGCCGTGTCCTTCGACTATTTTATAGTCAAAGATTTACCCAAAGGGGCTTCCCTGGTGGCACAATGGTTGAGAGTCCACCTGCCGATGCAGGGGACACGGGTTCGTGCCCGGGTCCGGGAAGATCCCACATGCCGCAGAGCGGCTGGGCCCGTGAGCCATGGCCGCTGAGCCTGCACGTCCGGAGCCTGTGCTCCACAACGGGAGACGCCACAACAGTGAGAGGCCCACGTACCGCAAAAAAAAAAAAAAAAAGATTTACTCAAAGAAGCTTGACAAGGCATAATGGTTGTGCATAATTCATGTGGGACATTTATAATGAAGCCATGGGTTATAAGGAAAAGCCATTAGGCAATCCATTGACATCATATGCAGCGAGGGAGTCCAGTGTGGTCTCATCACATTTCACTAACAGTAGACATTAAGGCTTAACCCCACCAATGCCTACACCCTCTCCACATCACCATGTCCATCTCGTAATGTATTCATTATCTATTTCCTCACATCAGATTTCTCCAAAATTAGAAGCTAAGAACAAAAACATGTATGATTCCACAGTTTCTGTCAATCAGGGAGTTGGCAACAGCCTGGAAGGGTGTTTCTGGCTCAAGTTTGTTCATTAGGTTACAGTCAAGATTTTGACCAGGTGATGGTCATAGAAAGGCTTGACTGGGGCTGATGGACCAGCTTCCAGTTTGGTTGAGTCACAAGGCTGGTTGCACAAGGTCTCAGTCCCTTGACACATGAACCTCCCCATAGGGCTCCTTGAGAGTCTTCACATCATGGCAACTGCCTTCCCCGGAGCGAGTGATCTAAGACAGCACAATGAAAGTCCTTTATGATGTAGCATCGAAAGTCATACACGGTCATTTCCTCAATATTCCATTAGTTTCACAGGTCATCTCTAATCAGTATGTACAAGGGCAAGAATACCAGGAGTCAGTGACCATTAAGAGCATCTTGGAGATCGGCTACCAACACCAGATCAGTCCACACGAGACACAAATCTGGGATCTTAAAGGCCCCACATTGACACAGAGTGGAGCAAACCCTAAAGGCCAGCAGGAGCATTAGAAATCCCACCTGTCTCCCATAAGATACTTGTCAGGATGGTCGGGAGACTTTTCAGTCTGCATATCCAGATCTCTCTTT